GGGCTGGCAGGGCAGGTGGGCAGAGCCAGAACCATTTGTACTTAGTTGCCTCCTTCCCAAGGGTTAGAGAGGGCCCCCCCGCCCCCACCTGCCAAATGTCAGTTTCTAGTATCCCCAGAATCCCGCCGCGGGGCCAGTCGCCAGGTTTTCAGGACCAGCTCTGCCTGAAAGCTGGTTTCTTTCTAGACTCCTCTCCTGAAAATCTGTTTCTAGTGATTCCTGGTGTGGGATTTCCAACCCCTTTCCAGGCGGTAGCTTCTCAAGGGTCCTCAGAGTTTTCTGTTTGTAGCGATCCCCAGGAATTGTCTGTTTCTAGGGGTTTGGGGCAGACACTAGAAACGGGTAACTCAGTAGGGGGGGTGAGAAACTCACCATCCCCAGAGTAAATGCAAACACACTCCCCGCGGAAAATGTTAGAAAGGGATTCCTGGAGTGCGTGCAGAGGGGCATTCAGTCCTCCCTCCAATTGTATGTTCCTAACCCACCTCTAAATGTCAGTTTCTAGTCCCTCCTGCAGATTGTCTGCTTTTAGTATCTTTGGGTATCTACATATCTGCTCCCTGGTTAGACCGGTTTCTTTTTTTCTTTTTTAAGTAGGCCCCACGCCCCACGTGGGGCTCAAACTCACGCTCTATGGACTGACTAGGCCCCCCCTAGTTAGACTTGTTCCTAATGTTTGTTTCTAGCGTCTCCTGAGACATTCCCCTTCTAGGGAGGTGGGGAGTCAGGCTGCTTTTAATTTTCCCCCAAAGCCCCCCCTGCCCCTCAGAAGATTGGCTGATTCTGGAATTCTTTTTTTTTTTTTTTTTTTTTTTTTTGAGAGAGAGAGAGAGAGAGAGAGAGCACATGCGAGCTCGTGCATGTGTGCATGCAAAGAGGGGAGGGGCAGAGAGAGAGGGAGAGAGAGAATCCCAAGCAGACTCCGTGCCGTCAGCAGAGAGCCTGATGCGGAGCTCGGTCCCACGACCCTGGGATCATGACAGGAGCTGAAATCAAGAGTTGGACACCTAATGTACTGAGGCACCCAGGCGCCCAAATTCTGGAATTTTTGTGGGAGTCACTTCTGGGCATGGTCTCCTCACAGGAGGGATCCTGTCCGATCGTTTTCTCTTGAGAACGTCTGTTTTTAGCAATTGTGTGTTTCTAGTGCCCCCACCAAGCTGTCTGTTTCTAGTATCCCCTTATCTAGTGTTAACTCCCTTCCTGTCTTCCTTCCCGGGCCTTTTAGATCAATGGCGTGTCCAGCGAGAATCTGTCTCTGAGTGACACACGGCGACTGATCGAGAAGTCAGAAGGGAAGCTGACTCTGCTGGTGCTCAGGGACAGAGGGCAGTTCCTGGTGAACATCCCACCGGCCGTCAGTGACAGCGACAGCTCTCTCCTGGACGGTGAGGGGCCAGAGGGCAGCGGAGGGCAGGGGAAGCCGAGGAGGCCAGGCGGGGCCTAGCAGGGCACGTGAGCCTGGCCCAGTGAGGCTCAGAGAGGGACAGACACTTGTCCAAGGCCACACAGGAAGTGAGGGCTTACTGGCCGAGCCAGACTCTGGTCTAGGCCCCTTGGCTTAGAGGGGCCTTGACGTCCCCCTCTGCGGTGCGGGCTGCAGGCCTGATGGGACGTCCTCTCCGCTGCAGACATCTCCGACCTCGGCTCAGAAACATCCCAGGCGCCACCCTCCCACGTCCCACCGCCACCCCAGCATGTGCGGCGGAGCTCTGACGCCAGCTGGACCGACTCCCCCGAGTACGTACCCCTGTCGGCCAGAATGGCTGAGTGGGAATGGAACGTGGGCATATCTTTTCCGACTGGAGGGTGCAGTCCTGGTGGCCTGCCTGGAAGAGGCTTCCCCCGTCCACACATAGTCCTCCTGGCCCCCAGTACGTGGCTCTGGGTTCTTGGGACCGGGGGAGCCTGGTAGGGATCGACTTAAAGCAGAAGGAGCAGAATTTTCCAAGACCCCCC